GAGTATGGGAATGCAGTACACTTAAGCAGTCGTACTCGTCGTCGTACTCACCTGGAGAATAATGTCGATATTTTCACTTATGAAGATCGTAAAATTCGCGTTGGTTTGGATGAACAGTTCTTACACGTCCATATCCAAACGGTCTTGTCGCGGCTGCAAGACGCTAGATACTCTCCGGAAATGGACCACGCGACGCACTTGACTTCGTTCTCATGGCCCTCCAATGTGGCTATCGAATCAAAAGCTCCAGTTTCATCTCGCTTCCAGATGCAGATGGTCTTGTCGAAGCTACACGAGGCAAGGTAGGTGCCGGTTGGCGACCAGGCCACCGTCCGAACCGTCCGCTGATGGGCATTGGTTAGCGTCACCTTCGCTGACCACTTGCCTCCTACAAGACAGCTAGACACTGGTAAAAGTGCGGGTTCACCGTATAAGGGATCCAGAAGATACTACTGCACCTTCTTCCATCCAAAGTATAATCTTGGTGTCGCTGCCACAAGATGCGAGGATTGTACCAGCAGGATTCCACTTCACGCTCCATGCTCGATCATCATGGCCGTGTAAACTCTGGACGAGGTCTAACGATGCCATTAGAGAGGGTTTAGAGACTCTCGTAACTCGTAGGTTTGGTAAGGTTGCAGGAACTTGGGAGTTGGGACTTGAAATCTGGATGGTGGGAGAGGAAAATTGAACGAAACTTCCGGTCCGAATTCCGGAAGTCAAAATCGTGCAAAATGTAAACAAAAGCTCGAGATCCTATTATACGGCTCACCATCAGGCTTATTGATCATCTTGATCAATCAATCCTTCTTGAAACAGCTGTTCCTAAGTTAGCCAAAGTCACGGCCACTCTCTGTGGCAGGCGCCGAAGTGTTTAGGATTCGTTTCGTTGTCTGTTCTTGGTCCGTCTGGTCATTGTTGAAGAAGGGATTATTATTCATCAATCCGCGCAGCATCCTCCGGACGTGGCTCGTTAAAGGATCAGATGTTCGTAACGCATTCTTATTTGTTGTTTTGCAGGTCGGAAACCTTTCCTTCTTATCGAGAAGCACGCGGTGGAGGTTGATTGGTGGATGCGAGAATGGCCATGATGCAGGACGGCGGCATCGTCAATCTGACTGGAGCAGTCTCCTCGAATGCTCCAAAGACCATCCGCCTGCTGGACATGATCGACACCTTAATCCAGAAGAGTTATCACGATCTGGTAGTGTTAGCTGAAGTGGAACTGAACAGAGGGACTACCAGCGACATGGACAAGAAGATAGCCATCATGAAATACCTCTCCCGTACACGAAACTACTTTATCCGCTTCCTCGCACTCCTCGAATGGTCGTCCAGCATGTCTAAAGTGGAGAAATGTTTCCAGATTGTCGATTACTTGGAGGAACAATCAGGTGTGTTCGTCGAAACCGCCGATGTCCTGGTCAGAATGGCACGCGAAACATTAGCCAACTCTAAGCTACCATGCTACCAAGTCGCCTTCGCCGTGGACGTCCTGAACTCTCGGACCTGTCCACGCATGCCATCGTGCATTCGAGAGAAGATCGTGCCTGTACAGCCGTTAACGCAGCAGGAGAAGGAGGAGACACTGAGGGAGTTGGAGTATGTGTTGCTTAATCGTCTAGTTACATTCGATCGTCCTCCACCGCAAATGCGTAATTTTGTGATACGGCGAGGACGGGTGGTCTTTATCGTGAAAGATGAGTTCGAAGTCGCTATGACGGTGCTTGGGGACGACAGGACTATGCCGTTTCGGATCCTCACGTTGAAGTTCCTTGTGAAGAATCGTCGAGTCGGGGAAGGAAGACCGTTAGTCCATGCGCAGCAAGTGGGATACTTGATACAGCTTTTGCAGTCTCGGATCATGGACAACGAGAAACCACTCGTAAGAACTATTTGCACGAGGAAAATTACGTGCTGATCGCACGTGCTGACTATGCTAGTCACCGTTTTTGTTCTTTGCAGGACGAAGTGTACCTGTTTCTGCATACCTTTAGTCAGAACCTGCAGATGGAAGTTCTGCATACACAGCTAACGCGACATATGGCGGGTGGAAGACTGGATTGCTTCCGTACAGAGAAGTATATCCCTGGACGAGAGATCAAGATTAGCTACTGGGAAGATATCAGTACGAAGACCTTATCCGCACCGCGCGGCTACACCATCACACTGACGGCGACCGACCGAGGTGAGTTTGCCTGCTAATAGATGGCCTACCTAACTTTCCACATGCTCTCATCGATTTTTATGGCTCGAAGGGATTACAATCGCTCATCAACCCCTGATAGACGCTGACACAACCTTACGCGAGCTGGATGTCGGCTCTGTCATGATGTCCGTCATCCATTTCCGGGTCAAGTCCAGACTGTCCAAGCTTCAAGCTGAACTATCCCGTCACTTTTCCTGTTCGATAACAGGCTTCCCTCTCCTTTTACTCGTGCCGCTGTACCCAGCTGCACTGCGTTCGCACTGCGTGCAGATCTCCGTAGACTATTACACTGGACAGTTTACTGTGCAGCTTGAACGTCTTCCTCAGAAGAGTACCCATTCTCTTCGAGACACCTTGAACACTTTCACATACAAGTATGAGAGGCTGGTAGAGCTGCTGGGCAATCTGAGGTTAGAGCTTACACTGGAACTGGTCAAGGCTTCGTCTGCTCGAACGCACCTTCAAGCACCCACACACTTGGCGCTGTTTGGTGGAGAACCCTTCGAACGGTTGAACAGACTTGGCCCGCATAAAGCCATCTTCCGTTTCCAGAAGAAGATCGATGTTACAGCCTTACTCGGTATATTTTACTGTTTTTTTCAGCACATACTTTTCAAAATAAAAATAATTTGTCACAATAAGTGTCTTAAAATCTGTCACAATAAGTGTTCAATCTTTCATCTGTTTTCTTGTTGGTAGTTGTGTCGGTGCACGAAGACCCTTCTGTGCCGGATGGAGTCCGTGTGGATTACCACGCTGTCCTGGTTGAACAGAGTAACCTGAAAGGGATGAAGGTTCTTGCGCTGATCGACCGGGAAAAGCTAAGCGACGGAGCACAGTATTTTTTCAGAGAAAAGCTGAATACTCCGGCTCAAGTTATAACGAAGAACCCTCTGGAACTTCTGAAGGCTCGTCTTCAAACCATGCGCGAACATCGCTCTGACGGTCGACTCCCGACACGTTCTACCAAGCTGTATCCTGCTGCTTTGGTAGATTTTGAACGCACCGTCGGCAGCTTGCTGACAGAGACCATGTTCAGCGAACTCCAGAGTGTTTTGAAGACGAGAGATATCCCAGCTGGTCCTATAACGGAAGTCACGTATGGAGGTATGTCTGCTAGTTGTTCTAGATGCCTGGGAGCTTGGCGAGCAACTCAAGAAGAGTTTTCCCAATTGGCGCATGTTTTCGATATTTTTGGCTGAAAGCGTGCGCCCCTTGGAAAACGATCTTGTTCGGAATGTTTGTCTGGGTTTCGTTTTGCATTTCTAGTTTTTCTATGCGTACCTCCTAATGATGTCTATTTGAGTTTTACAATACAGTACACAATGTATGCATATTCGTCCTGATCTTCGGTCTTCCTTTTTTGCAGGCGAAAGTCCAGGAGCGCCCATACTGACACTCCCGGTTCGCTTAGAGCACGACCTGAACTTGCTTCGGTCCTGTACTTTCCGAAGAGTTGGAAAGCTAGCAACGACATCCAGCGCCTCGTTCTATGTTGACTTTTTGATGAGTGGAGTGCCCTTCCAGAAAGGTTCCTCCACGCTGTCGTGCACGTTCTCTTACGACTCGACGATGTCCTCTGAGAAGATCGTCGAATGGCTCAGCTACGACTGGGTCTCAATGACCGGACTACTCCGTCTGATGCGAAGGTTCAAGGCCTTCTTGGATACGAAACCACATCCACCTGGCGTTAAGTACGAACCTTACCACAAAATAACGATATCCATTTCGCCGAGCTCGGCAAACGAACTCATCAGATTCGGTTTTCGAAAGTGGCGCATGCTTTCAGCCGTTGACTTCGGATAAGTGCGCCACTTGGGAAAACAACCTTGTTGAGTTTGTTTGCCGAACTTCCGAATCAAATTTTGCCGTCATACTGAATATCTTTCTTTTCAGGTATGATGTCTCGTACAACCTAAGGAAAGTCCGTGTCCTCTACGGTCCGAACTTGGAGCTGGCAGTGCTGCTCTCATGGGACCGTAACGAGAAGAAGTTGGTCCTCGAGTTCTACGGTCAGTCCGATGGAGTGTTGAACCCGCATCGAGCGTTGAAGGACCGCTTGCTCAACATGATACGACCGAAGACTGGTTCTCACCCCGTTGACTTCTCCCACATATTCGACGTCCTCATGCACACAACGCCTCTCATGTTGGGTGTGCGAGAGTCGTATCGTCCTGTTGGTGTAGTGAAAATCCCTCGGTCTCTCACACCACAAGTGACGTTTCAGTTCGTACTGATCTCGCTTTCTCAGTACGCCGTCATCTGGAAAGGGTCGTTTTGTCTGTGGGTCAAGATCTTGAACGGACCGAAGTTCCTAGTTCGCGACGTGGGAAGTAGTTTTACGGAAGCGAAGAGAGGGGAGGAGAAGGTTTATCAGCCTGTTACAGGTCTGAAAGCCATCACGGAAGCAGCACTCGCGGGAAAACCGTTGACTTCCAGCGAGACAGCTGGAAGTGATCAAGAGCTACAGCAATCGATATACAAATTGTTTACTTTTCTACGAGGATATCCCGTCCAGATTGCTGGTAATTCTAGCTGATACAGAATTAAGTTTTAGAAGAAGGTTCATGATTGTGGAATTAACTTGCATTTTTTACCTAATTTTATCGTTGATCTCATATTTCATGCAAGAATCGAAAACAACAAAAAAACTCTAATTATATCGTTTGATCAACGCTGAACAATTTTAACTTAGGCTTGGCGAGGTCAAATAGCTGGACCTGGCAGCAGAGTTGGTTGCGACTGCTGTTCCTCTAGACCGTCGGTTGGTGCTATGGAAAAGGCAAAAATTTGCTAAGTGTGAGGTTCGAACTCACGCGGGCATGCACCCACCAGATTGCTTGCAGACTTAAGTCTGGCGCCTTAACCACTCGGCCAACTTAGCAATCTGCAGTAAGATGAAACGTGTACCCATGGACTTGAATTTTCCACGTGACGCTCTGCGCAGTTTGACAGGACATACTTATGTGCGCATTACCTCTTGTTAGGTCGGACAATGGTGATTAGTTCATTTGTGTGTGCCTTGCACGCTTTACAAATTACAATACTAATAATAACTAATATTGCTGATAAAAGATAGCAATGACCGAGATAAACAATATCAAAAAGTAGGAAAAAAGGAACTATGCTATGAAATTAATTGGGACGACGAAATCTAGACCATACCTTCATGAGCAACCAGATTACACCCGGATCCAAACAACTAAAATAACTGAAATGAGCTCACAGGCAGAATTCGATAACTGAATCGTGCCATGATATCGAGATAAAAACATTCCATTGCTCTTTCGTATTATACCTATGTACGATGAGCGTTCCAACTACTCCGATAGAATGAGCACTTCGGAATTAGGAAGCATGAATTTCAAAGAGGTTGACTTTCGTGTTGAACCAAATAGCCGGGTTGGTGTTCCTGCAAGACGTGATCAGTACACTGACTTAAATCACCCAGTTTACAACATAAACTCAACGTACGTACCTCAAATATAAAACTCCCCACATATAGTTTCGAAACCAGGTACTTGTCTGGCTGTTAGATTGATATTTCCGAATCAGAATGGGGTGAGGAACCGGAAGTAGGCCCACCAAGGTTCCCCGGCTCAAAAACTTCAGTATTTCCGTCTCGTCCGTCACGTTCCTGTTAAAACATAAGATTTGTTAGCCACACAATAAAATCGTCTCAAGTCAGGCTGATTCGAGGTCAGCTTACTTGTCCATACAGTACTTTTCAACTTGTGGAACCAGGACTTGAAGAAGCCGCATTGTAGTCTGAAGTGGAAGCTTCGATTTCCATGATTGCACCTACAAAACCAGAACCGAAGACCATCGAGTCTTTTCTATCGAAAAGTAATTTCTTCCAGGTTGAGCGTACAGTTAGCTGCTTACCCATTCTGGTGTGGGAGACCATGCTCGAGGATCTCCACTACTGCTGGCCACGGAAATCGACCTTGAAAGGTGGCGCTGTTGTGCACGGACAGGCTTGATCGATGTGGAGGTGATGAATCCCGCATCCTAAACATTACTCATGTCAAGTTACTGTTACCAAATTATAAGGCTCTCAACAGAATATCAGTTACCATTGTCGTGGACTTCTTCATGTCGCGGGTCGAGCCGTCTTGGGAGAAATGCTCCACTGTTGCCCCACTGACTGATGGCAGGTCCATTTGCGCTTTCTCGTGATTCATCTCCGAATCGAAGACCGAAGTCTTGTCTGTCAGCTTAGAGACGCCTGGTGAGAAGCGTAAAATTGAGTAAGATACTCTGCTCAAAGTCCAACTCATAGTGAGGGCAAAGAACCATGGACACCTACCTGGAAGGGCAGGAAGAGTAGTGTGGAACCCTGACTCGTTCAGGTCCGTGTTCAGCTCCGAAGGTCCGGTCTCGAACGCTGGAGAAGTCAGATTGTTGAGAGAGCTTTCCAGTTGTTGGATTGTCTCAGAAGACGGCAACTTTTGCGATTTCTTGGTGACCGTCTTATCAATGAACGCGTGGTCGATTGGCAAGTTCGCCAGCTGATGGAAAAGAGCGCGTTTCCGAACAATGCAGTATACAAGAGCCACGTTTCCTACAGGTGGAAGAACTTATCAACACCGCGCGAGCATTGTGTGAAATGAAAATCTTGCATATGACCCGAAGGTTTCGTACGCACCGTCGAACTGGTACTGGATGATATTGTTGAAGGTTTCCAGTATAAAGAAGACCAAGTGGTGGTTGTTAGCCGTAGCGTAGAGGAACCAAGGTGTGCTGAAGGCCTAGAAACAATGTAATCTGGTAACCAAAATTAATGTCATAAAAAGTGGAGGAACCGCTGTAGGCAGTATGTACTGTAAGACTGTTCGATTGGTACCTCGAACAGGTGCATCAGCTTGGAGGCGGAAACCATTGTCAGAGACTTCACATAGGGAGAAACTGCAGATAAAGAATGCGCTAAATGTGTACGTCTAATCTGGAACAACGCAATGTGAAAAACATATAGTAACTGAACCAGCGTACTGTTTAGGATGATAGTGAGCAAACAGTCAAAAAGCGGCTGCAATTTGGAATGGCCTGATGTGATGAGCCTGTGAAAGACCTGGACAAAAAACACTATCATTTTTGTATGCCGTTCAACCGGTTAAAGTGAACGTGAAACTCTTCACTTACCAGGATGAGAAGATCGGCATGATTCCCGTTAAATAATGGGATGTCGGGGATGACCCGCGCTGTGTATGGTTTGTTCAAGCGAACTCCGAAATTTCGCTCTCCACTTAACAGCAGCAGGATGAAAACGCCCAAATGGGTGGCACCAATGCGGCCTAAAAACCAAAGAACAGATCATCATAAAAACGGTGCAGAAGACTTCTCCTTGAGATCAAAGCTTCCGCTGGACTTACTAGAGCTCTGGCGAGATTCGTTTAGACCGTACAGAACTGGCAGAAGAATGTCCAGCACGACTGAGCTCTTCAGGACATGGTACATGAACCGCTAAAAAACAAAGTGTACTAATGTTAAAACTTGCGATTATCTCTCGCCAGAGCGCTACCTTGTTGTAGTCGCAACACTTCCAGAAGAGGATTAGCAATTCTTGGGCGAACTGGATTTTCTTCGAAGACCCGGGAAGGTAACTCTGCTTCAACGGGTTGTTCAGGAGCCGCACGAAACCGTTGGTCATGAAGTTGAAGTCGTCATCCCGATGTATACGAGAAAGGTAGTTCAGGAACATGTTCTTTAATATAGCGCTCTGTAGAACAAGAACGAATGAATCAGATTATAATACAGTCCTACCTCCGAGATGTGACAGTTCGACCGCCCGATTTCGATTTTGGACGGTTCATATTTTCCCCAGCCTGCCCACCACACTGCTCGCTCGAGACCGATCAGTGATCGGATACACACTTGATTACTTGATCAAGTGAATCTTGAATAAACCGTCGATCAGCTTTCCCATGAGCCGTCCCATGCAAAATTGATGTTCGGTCGCGGAAGAAGCAATTGTCACATCTCGGAGGTAGGGCTGTATTACGATTTTAGAGTCGAAGACTTGGTCTTACCTCCATTTCTTGCTCTTGGGTTTTCTCTTTGGTCTTACCACAGACATGGTCCAGGCAAATGATCAGCATTTGCACCGCCACTTCCACTAGGAGCTCTTTGCTGTCGCCAAACATTTTGTAGTTGTAAGGCACACCGTAACCCACAGGGTCGTAGGCGAAAGTGACGTTCAACAAGGAAGTGAAGAGTGGAAGAACATGACGGTTATCGGCTGAAGTGAAGTACTCCAGCCAGCGATTAGGACAAGTCAACCCACTGTTCCCTGAAGAGAACAGAATCTTCGGTGCAGCAATATCTCATCCACATAAGGTAAAGTATGGCGGAAACCTTGCAGATTGTAGATGGACTCGGAGAAGCATGTCATCAAAAGCTTGAGAATTTCGATTCTGGCCTGGTCGTGGTACGCATTGTGGGCGGGTGACAGGGCGAAGCCGACGCCGGCTTCCCAAATGTACTCACAACTGTCCAGCGACGACAGGTTCTCCGCCTCTTCCTATAACGTGACAGAACGGAAGAACACAATGATTAACTCTGATCCCCTACTTCTCTTTTATGGCGGTAACACTTTACTTACTGCGAGCTTTTTGTGCTGACTGACGGTAAAACCAGGACAAAAAAGCAACGCCTATGAACAAAGGGCCATGGTTTACCGGCACAAAAAGTTATCCAGCTAGAGAACGTCCGAGCGTGTTGAACTATCGATATCGGGCTCGTCAACATGACGGCGTTATCATGTCATTTCAGGGGCTTACCGAGAGAGAACTCATTAGGGTGGTTGCCAGAACCGGAATGTCCAGATCTTCCGTGATGGTGATAACAGCACACTCTTCGTCCATGGAAGAACTTGAAAATCGGTTCATGGGTCCAACTCTTTTCCCGGAAGTCGATACGGGCGACCAGAAGAATGTTCGCCATTCTGCTTCCTCCAAACAGAACGGAATCATCCGAGTTAGCAGGCGAACGCAGTTCAGCACTGCAGACGAAGAACCCAGTGAAGACCAAGCTACATATACTATTTTACTGTATAACACTTAGATGACAAGTAGGACTAACCGCTTTGCTGATCGGACGTGCTGCTGCATGAGGATTCCATACATCTTCTAATTTGATCGACGCACTTGAAAATCAATGTGGCAAAGTTACGCGGTGAGTCTTCTCGAATGCCTCGGATATCCTCTGGCGTGACCGAGGCGAAGATCTCTTGCACTGTGTACGATTGGTCCTTCCAGAACTGCTGCCAGAACGTCTCATCTTCCGACGACACAGTCTGCAAAGCACAATCTCGTTATCCAGCTTCCATTGCACCACAAGTCATAGACCGCTCAAAAGTATGATTGTTACGGAAAGACGCAACTCCTACGTACGCATGCACGTGTACCTTGTCCTTGGATTTCAGCTCAATCACTGCTTTTCGATACCCAACCTTCGAGTCCGTATTCCCCATTGTTCCGTTGTGCCGTACGTTGTTCCGCACCCCAAGAAGCTATTCTTCGAAGTTCTCTGTATCGTTCAGTATCGAGATGCGGGCTTGGCTGCTAAGACGGAACATATGGTCATTTCCGCCTGTAACAAGCAGCAGCTGGGACGAGTTAGTGAACAGTGAAGGTAAACGGTCAAACACGCATGCCGAGAAACAGACGCAGCAAAAGAGCATGACGTGCCTCAACCTTACCTTGACAAGTTTTGTCGGAAGCTGATCCAGATGGTGTGATTCATAAAATTTGCTGAACACCAGCTTGCGATAGATTCGGCGGAGCGTCGTCATCCAGAAAATCGATTTGGGTGGTCAAATTTGAAAGCAAAACAGCGCAAGCACGGACAAGGAAACTCCACTTCCGGTTGCGCATTCCACCTATG